TATTTAAAAGTGGTGACACTAAAGAACCAAACAATTATAGGCCAGTATCTGTTTTGCCGGTTCTCAGCAAAGTATTTGAAAAGTTAATGCTGTCTCGGATGCTTCATCATTTTAATAAACATTCTATCTTTCACCAACAACAATACGGTTTTACTAAAGGTCGTTGTACAACTGACGCCGGTGTCACTTTAATGAAAGAAATATTTGGTGCTTGGGAGGAAGCACAAGATGCTATTGGTGTCTTTTGTGACCTCTCAAAAGCGTTCGATTGCGTTGACCACGAGACACTTTTGCTGAAATTAGATCACTACGGGATCAGAAACACCGCACTCTGTCTAATAAAGTCTTATTTAGAAGATAGGCAATTAAAGGTTCATGTTAATGGTATTAACTCGCAGGGCTCTACGATGAATATGGGCGTTCCACAGGGTTCAATATTGGGTCCCTTTCTCTTTTTAGTCTATATAAATGATTTGCCATTTATATTCAAGAATGAACCAAGAATGGTGCTTTTTGCAGATGATACCTCATTAATTTTTAAAATAGATCGACGTGCTAATAATCTTGACGACGTAAACAGCTCCATTCTTCGAGTGCAAAACTGGTTCACCATTAATAATCTAGCGCTTAATGAGAAAAAAACAAAATGTATTAAATTTAGTTTACCAAACGTCCGAAGTAATGATTGTGATGTTGTTTTAAACGGCCAAAAGTTAGAATTTGTCGACGAGACGGTATTTTTAGGCATTACATTAGACAATAGACTACAATGGGGCCCACATATAAAGGCGCTTTCGGGGAGATTAAGCTCAGCTGCTTTTGCAGTTAGACAGATTAGACAGCTCACGGACGTAGATACGGCAAGGCTTGTCTATTTTAGTTACTTTCACAGCATTATGTCGTACGGCATTTTGTTGTGGGGTCGAGCTGCAGAAATAGAATCAATTTTTATTCTTCAAAAGCGGGCTATCCGAGCAATATATAACTTACGCCGTTGCGAATCGCTAAGAGAATTGTTTAAAACGATAAACATCTTAACGGTGCCCTGTCAATACATATATGAAAATATAATGTATGTAAGAAAGAATAGGCAATTGTTCGAAAAAAGAAGCGATAGACACAATCTTAATACTAGAGGCAAGAATAAGTTAGCTGTACTGCAATTCAGACTGTCCAAGGTACAGAAATCCTTTATGGGGTTAGGTATTAAATGCTATAATAAAATACCAAATAGCATACTAGATCTAAATGAAAGTAAATTTAAAACATATATTAAGCGCGAATTATGTAAACAAGCGTACTACAGGGTGATTGATTATCTTGAGGATAGGAATGCTTGGCAGCGTGTTGGTTCGGCTCCACTGGACAATACTCAAATGTAGTCAGTACCTAGTTCAGATTACGATAATAGGTAATTTAACACTTTGATTCCGATGAAGGCAATCTATTTTTCTTGTGGCATCGAGCATTTCTTTCTTTATTTAAACAAGAGTATATTTTTTATTTTTTTTCTTGTATAGAAGCACTATTTTTATATGGATTGTCAGTATACATATGTGAGGACCATGTCAGACTTAAGATATTTGTTTTCTCTTGGTTTTGTTTTTTTTTTCTATTTTAGTATGTTCTGTTATTTGTATGTTGCTTCAGGTATGTCTTTACATTATTCTCACATGTGTGTACAATATTGGAATATGTATCAGAGCAATGTAAAACAGACTTTTTTAAAAGAGTAACGAATGGAGTTTCTTGCTCGTTCTTCTCCACTCGAATCGACATTTTGGAACGAGCGCCTAGCTTCACTGACGGACAGACTGACAGACTATTATATATCTCATATTTGTTGACGTTTCAAAAGTACCAAATTATGGTTTAATTGAAATAAATGCTTTTGAGTTTGAGTTTGAGTTTGACTGCAGGGCAAGGGGTCGCGGCTTCGATTCCCGGGTCGGGCAAAGTAATCCTCCGTGCAGTTAAGTATTACTGTGCTACTGCACGGACCCTAGAAATGCGCCCGGTATATGGCAATAGGCTCACCCCCTATTACATGGGATTCATAACATAAAAAGTGAAAATGGGTGTTACAGTGGCATTAAGTGCCGTAATATGCACCTTGGCCTACTCCTTCGGGGATAAAAGACGAAGCCGCTAGCAGAAGCTAAAGCTAGTGCATTATAACTCATACTTAGGGCATCTAGAATTCCTATGTCTTTTCAGTTGGGTCAGATTTATAGGGCTAGGCAGAGAAGCTGCGTCAATAAATATAGAGCGAGTGATGCCTGTCGCAACATTATGGCCGAATTACTGAACTGACGCATAGATTGAACCTCTGTAAATAATTATACATATATATAAGATATATAGGAGTTAAGTAGAATGATTACACTACTGTTTACAGTATAATCATTCACATATATATAGGGGTCCCTTAACGCCGGACGGCACCTAACGCCGGACACTTGTATTGTATACTTGATGTAAGCAATATTATCTATGTCGCTTGAGATTATTGAGAAATAAAAGATATATTATAAATTCGTCCGTTTGTTTATTCCATTAATTATTCTGAATCACAGTAAGTATAATGAAACAATAGGTAAATGTATCTAGGAGTAAAATCGATCACTTCTTACATTGGGTACTTACAATTAGGAGACAATATTATGTAGATAGTGCAATTATTGTTACTTTTATTATTATTTATTATACAGTGTAATTATTATTCTTCATTATTATTATATTGATTGTTAAATAAAAAAGTGCGTTGTCTTAACTTTATTCTACAATTTGAGATGTCTAAATTAGTTTTCTGTACACAAAAGGTGATTTAAAATATAAAAAATCTTAAGTGAAAAAATCTTAGGGTCAGAAGTTTCTATCAAGTACCCAACATCACAACTATTAGATATGAATCGACACAAATAAATTCATTTTTAATTATTAAATTATTATATTACATTATTATTCAGATTTAGCACAAATGTTTAAGTTTTACTATTTTATTAAAATAACAAAATTTAATAAAACGAAAATAATATAAAAATATAATAGGCAGACTCGATTCTTAAGGTGGTTACACACTGGTGGCGAAACGCTGCGACTAATCGCACGACGGACCAGCCGTCGACTTGTCTTAAGGCTTGCTTTAGACAATATTTAATAGTCTAAAATAGTAAGAAATATTAATAAGTAGACATTTATTATCAATAGTAACTCAAAAAAATAACTATTAAAATATATTCATCCTTATATTGCTTAGATTTTATGATACAATTTTAATTATGAATTTTAATGGCAATCATACTTTTATCTCTGTAATGTAAGTAAGAGGTGAATAATGGAAAAAATGTAAGAATAAAGATAAAATTAACAGTTATAGACGCCTAACACAATTTCAAAATTCATATTAGCGTAGTAGCAAGACGAAAAGACTTATGCAAACGATTTAAAATCGCAGCGTTTGTCGCGCGCAGTGTGATGCGGCCCTAATATAAACTTATTTAGTACCAGGAACATCCAATTAAGTATACTCGACGCTGTGTGCACGTCTGTCTGTCTATCCGGCCTGAAACAAACAGAAATCAAGATTATTATTATATTTTTCGGATAATTTTTTAAAAGCCTACGCCAACTCTAACATTTTCTCCTGTGTCGTGCGCGCGTTTATGAACATACAAGTTCACATGACATCCAGACCCGAAACAACAATTTGTAGAACACATAAAGAGCTCCGTGCGAGAATCGAACCCGCGACACGCTGCGCGGCAGCCGGTTGCCCAGCCACCGCACCAACCGTGCACTCTCCCCATGCACAGGCCACATTTTCAAGCCACCTAATCAAAAATCCGCCTAAATATGATGGACATAGATTTCAACTATCAACTTTTCCTGACAATCTTGTAACAAACAATGTTTGTAAACGCCCCCACGATACAGGAGAAAATCTCAGTGTGTTGCAACGTTTAAAAAAATGAAAAATAAGAGTTTTACTAGTTTCATCAGAATGAAGTTATCGTAACTGGTGTAAAAAGATCGATTATAATATTAGGCACCTCATCATCATCATTAACAGTCTATAAAATAATGGCCACTGATGACCAAAGCCTCTTCTCACCCGGAGAAGGTATTAATCACCACGCTTGCTCAATGCGGGTTGGCGATTACAAACTTAAAATTAGAAATTATAAGGCATCTACCTTCACTTAGGCATGTACCTACACTGAACAATTATGTGGAAAAACACACAGACAGAAAATAAGTACAACTTACTTTAGCCGGATAAACGAACGTCTTGGCGAGTTGTGAGCCGAATACATTGGTGGCTTGGCAAGTGAACTCGCCCATATCACTCCAGCGCAGTGACGATATTACTAGCTCGCCGGAACGGAGCACCTGGCAACAAGGAAGAGACATTGTTAATCATACATAACATCACGCCTTTTATCCCCGAAGGGGTAGGCAGAGGTGCACACAGAAGTGACTCCCACTTTTCACTATTTATGTTATGAGTCCCATGTAATATTTTTGCCATATACCGGGCACATTTCCAGACTCCGTACTACTACTGAGATTTTTTTTAAAAATCCAGTTATACTTTGCCCTACCCGGTAATCGTACCCGAGACCCCTTGCCATGCAGTCGGACTTGCGACCACTCGGCCAATGAGTCAGTCAAATTGTTAATCATGTTTTTTTTATTGTTAACTAGCTACTTCCGCGCGGTCTCACACGCTCTGCTCAGCTCCTATTGGTTGTAGCGTGATGTTTTATATCCTATAGCCATCCTCGATAAATGCGCTATCCAACACAAAAAGAATTATTCAAATCAGACTTGTAGTTACGGACATTAGCGCGGTCAAACAAACAAACAAAAAAACAAACTCTTCCGCTTTATATAATAGTATAAGAGTATAAGATGGGTAGGCGTTTGACCTCTATCTCGCCTGGTGGTAAGCGATGAAGCGGCCTACGATGAAGCACACCCATAAGCTACCTATTCACTCGCGCCTTGAAGGTTTTACCCTTCAGGAAACAGATTCTAACAGTGTTCCATTCCTTTGATGTTCACAGAAGGAAATTTGAAGTGAACAATGTAACCATGAATGTATTGTGAACCTGATTGAAAAAGAGTAACCTATGGAGTTTCTTGCTCGTTCTTCTCCATAGGAATCTACACTTTGGGACGAGCAAATAGAACAACTAGAGGACTGACTGATAGACTGTTATTTTTTCTTTAATATTTACCTAAACATTTTGTTTTGACTAAATTATTATGTTTTCGGCTTACTCACGTATTAATTTGATGAGGAACTCGACTAGTTTCAAGTCATGCTAGAGGCTCATATTCATGAGCAGCATTTTATTACGTGAGTAAGCCGAAAACATGATAATTGATTTAGTATGTCTCACGAAAGTTATAATACATATCTACCTATATTTTTTTTTTGATGTTCAATAGTTCCTTCTTGGTCTAATTGAAATAAATGATTTAGACATTTTCGTTTGAGTTTTAATTATCAGCCCGAGTTCGTCCACTTAGTACTAGACATTAGATTTTGTCTAATATCACGCCATAGAGCTTAAGTTTCAGTACCCAGACCTTTAGCTATAACAGAGGGCCAAGCACGAATAACTATCGCATTCGTATCGTAACAGTATTGAGAGAGTTAAGCGTTCTGATTGGTTGGTTCACTTGAGCCGACCAATCAGAGCGCCGAACGCGCTCGATACTATTACGTTACGAATGCGATAGTCATTCGTGCTTGGCACTCAGCTATGCAGTTCAGTTCGGAGTAAAATTTTCTTAGCTCACGTTTTATTTTCTGCCTCGTTGGCCGAGTGGTCGCAAGTGCGACTGCCGAGCAAGGGGTCTCGGGTTCGATTACCGAGTCGGGCAAAGTTGGCAAAGTTGGAATTATTGTTAATTTTGTTATCTATAGATTTTAAACCACACCCAGGTACTTTCTCATTCACAGTTTTAATACCTGTTTTAGGTACTCATTTTGTAAAAACTTTTATAAAGTCAAAGCATTTTTTATTTCAATTAAACCTTATTTTGGTACTTTTGAAACGTCAACAAATACAAAATGATTAAGTCTGTCAGTCAGTCCGTTAATTAACCTAGGTGTAGATAAGATTTTTTGTTAGAATGCGCAATCTGGATTTGTGTATCTATGTATGTGGAAGTGCTATATTAAAAAGAACTAAATGGGAATTGTCAATAAAAAGGACTACTTACCCTCATTCTTGCGGAATCATTCCTAATGGGCGTCCCCTTGTTGTCGAACCACGTGACATGAGGTTTAGGGTGTCCCTTAACCCGGCATGGCAGCACTATGTTGTTGCCCATCGTATCCACGTACATCTCATAAGTGACAACTATGCGAGGTTCTAAAGGTAATAGTTTTGCACGCTCCGACAGTATACTGCTGCCATCTGTTGGTGAGTAGAGAGAACTAGTTAAAGTTAATTTAAGTTTTATTATCATAATATTTTTTTATTACTGTGGTTTATTCATTCGTATATTTATTGTACAAAGACAAGCAGATAAACTGTATTCAATCTATAAAATGTCTTTAAGAGTTCAGATAAACATAGGTCTAATGATTGAACTCGAAAGTTTATTAAAGTTTCAAAACTTCAGCGAGTACTAATAATATTGCAACAGGGAGAAAAAGCTTTCAAAATGACAGACAATAAAGTTTAAAATCCTTTCTTACCTTTTTCATAAACGACAGTGGTAGCTCTAGCAGTTTTGGTGCCAGAAGTGACGAGGCACGTGTACACGTCATGACCCGACGTCCTCGTTACCAACAGGGTCGAAATGACCCGCGCAAGAGAACTCGGGTTACTGTCTATTAGTTCATTTGATTCTACGTCATACTGCAAAGAAAAATGTTCAATGTTAGTAGTGCTGCCATCTAGTATCGAGTAGGAGAGTTTCAGTGGAACTTGATTTTTACTGCACAGTCAAATTATTTATTTAATTTAAGCTTACCATACCTTTGAATGTCGTAAGTAATAAAAAATATAAGCTAAATTAATTTGTTCGTTTCAAAATTGTATCATCAGAAATTAGAAGAGTAAGCAACTTCATGGTCATTAAAATTATATAATTATTTTTTCAAAAATAATTCAAACATTTCTTACCTCATAAACCGGAGCGTCATTTTTAAACCAGTGTATAGAGGGCGCTGGCACACCGACGGCGTCACACGTTAGTTCCAACATTTCGCCGCGAGCGTGCGTGTACATCGCTTCGGGGCGCTGCGTTATCGTAAGGAAGCGGCGAGCACTGGATTGTAAGTTGTTTTGAGCTACTGGAAAATAATTACAAAATTATTAACTCGTCGAGTACCGGTTTTGCAGACACAATTATAGAACAATAGGTTGCGGTCACCGGTGACCGCTTGGTATTTGACAGTTTAAATACGATATTTTTAAAGTATTTATTTATTGGAATTTAAAAGTTTGTCGTCGAATTATTTTTGTTTGGTAGTTCGTCTATTCCTTAAGAGATGGCGCCAGTTACACATACTTATAACACGCAAAAAGCTGTATGTCGCATACAAGACTGTACGGTTGTCGCGGTGGCTGAGCAACTGGCTGCCGCACAACGTGTCGCGGGTACGATTCCCGCACGGAACAACTCTTTGTAAGATCCACAGATTGTTGTTTCGGGTCTGGGTGTCATGTGTATGTGATATTGTATATTTGTAAACGCACCCACGACACAGGAGAAAACCCTAGTGTGGGGCAACGTTTTTTAAAATAGAAAAAAAAGAAATAAAAATGTTACAAAATAATCATGCGCTACATTCTATAGTTATATGACATCATGTTACATTACATTGTGTTATGTTACATTTCATTATGTTACAAACTCACCATTATGTTCAATATGATTATCTAAGTCTGAGAGTAGCCTCATGTGTTTGTTGACGTTGGCGCAGCGGCTCACGCCGAGCAGGGACGCGGTGAACAATAGCACCAGATACATTCTCAATAAATTACTAAACGTACGTATAATACTGCAGAGATTCTTGTTGACGACTTATCTGGAACAATTGGAAATTTATTGTTAGAGAAATTACAAAAATATAACTAAAAATAACATGTGATCTCCAAAAGGGCGCGCAATTTAGCATTGATGCGTTAAGTTAGTTCCTATCCTATTTTTCTATATATCATATTGATTTTAGGAGTAAATACTTTAGTTTATACATATTTATTTTAGCCTTAGTTATTTATTATTTAGTTTATATCTAATTTATATAAATATGTAAATAGTTAATATAGATTAATTTAACAATGATTCCATTTTTTACGAAATTAAATATTAAATATACTTTTATTTAGTATAGATAATAAAGGATGAATCTATAGTCATAGACGTAACACATTTCTAGTCCACGTACTGTTACTGAAAATCTTTGAAACATTGACAAAGTCATCAATATCTAATTCTTTGCGTTGTTTGGAAATTGAATTCGAGACTCTTTGTTCGATAGTCGCGCTTATAGACCGTGACCTTTCGCCGTTCTAATATTATCACCTAAAACCCCAATAAACAAATATTAGTTAGTGTTAAAATTGTTAGCAAAAATAATATAATAATAAATACAATTACATCTTTAACTTGTCGTGTGTCTCCAAAGTGGATCCACGAGAGACACAATGATTTTTCTATTGTGTCTCATAAGTATATGGGCATTCAAGCGGTTAAATGTAAAAAATGGAATGGAATTTTATTCCAATTTCTATTTAATATAATTTATGACAATCTAAGGATCTGATATCTAAATGTCAATACTAAGTAACTGGAACTCAGTTACTTACTTCCAAAAATAGTTAATCATCTAAACAGTTTCATCAGAAAGCAGAAAAAAAAAACTTGCAAATCACAAATTCTCAGAACATACCTATGAGACCTTAAAAGGCATTGTCACATTCAAAACTTACAGATTCAAATCTTATCTCATACATTTCACAGAATGTATGCGCAAGAGTTTTTTCGAAATTACCGACAAACGTCAGGATTTTCGGAGGTGTGGCTCTGTTGTAAAAAAGGGTCTTCCTAAAGCGGGGCTTCCCAATCTTTTCTTGGTCAAGGACCACTTTTTAATTAACAGTTTTATTTAACTTGCCTCGTTGTTTGTTTGTGTTAAATTTAGTCATTGTAATTTTACCCTACTCCAGACGACGACGGATCGATCTGATATTTGGTATACTCTCTTAATCTTAACCATACAATATGTATAATGTGATTTTTCCATAACTACTTTCGTTACGGATATCATGAAAGAGTAACAATGGAGTTTCATACTCGTTCTTCTCCATTCGAAACTACACTGGAACGAGCGCCTAGCTTCACTGACAGACGGACGGACGGACTTTTAAATTTTTGACGTTTCAAAAGTGTCTGATTATGGATTCATTAAATTAAATAGATACTTTGACTTTGACAAACGAAATGGCTTGATTGGTAGAATAGAGTTCATTAAAACCGTTCAATATAAAAATATTATTTTACTTGTTTCATTTCGCGGCCTATACTTTTTTTATATATTAGATAGTACTGACGTGTGACCACTATCTCGCCTTGTGGTAAGCGATGATGCGGTCTACGATGGAGCACGTCGTCCCATAAGCAACCTATTTACTCAGGCCTTGAAGACACCCTTCAGGAAATACAGACTCTGGCAAAGTATTCCACTCCTTAGTAGTACGCACAAGGAAGCTTGAAGCGAAACGCTACTTGATACTTTGTCTTGCGGACCACCAGTTGGGAGCCACTGTCCTTAAGGCGAGTGATTCATACTGCAAACACGTTAAAAGGTAATAAAGGGTCCCTTTTTGAAGGAATTTTTATGTTCTTCCGCTTAGCAACAGCTTCGAGACATGTGAAGTAGGGTAGGTGTCGACTTCGTGGTCATAAGATTATTTGAAGTAAAACATTTTGGTGATTTTTTTTTGTTTAGGTACTATTGTTGATGTAATTATTATAAGTGAAATTTTAATTATTATAAGTGACATTTTAATTATTAGTAGTGATATTTTAATTATTATAAGTGACATTTTAATTATTACAAGTGACATTTTAATTATTAGTATCGATATTTTAATTAATATAAGTGACATTTTAATTATTAGTAGTGATATTTTAATTATTCTAAGTGTACCTACTTGACATTATAATTCATTGTAATTATTTTAAAGGTGTTAAATCAATAAATAAATTCATATTATGATGATTCTCATAACTTTTATAGTAATAACTAATAAGAAAAGTAAATATTTTGGTTAAAGCACCATTCTTAAATATTTTTTAAATTTTTTATTAGTTTAATTTACGTAAGGATGTAGTATAAAAGTAATTTACAAGGAATAAAAGGGGTTTTTATTTCATTTTATTTACTGTTTTTGAATATTATGAATGAATAGTACCTATGATGTTGTCTAAAACTTATGAAAATAGTATTATGAAAGAACAATAATATTATGAAATTGTTATCGTTTTTAAAACAATATGTAGCATGCATTTCTATTGTATTTAGTGATAAAATTAATTAACTACTAATGAAGTATTTTTATTTTGCATATTTTTAGTTCTTTAACATAGTATACTTCATCACAGATAACAATAGCCTGAAATAGGTGTAATTAGATTACATTTCATAATTTAATTTTACAATAAAAAGCCCCAAGATAAACTTATAACCTAGATACACAAACTTAACTGACTATTAAAAAAAAAACAACTCTTTTTCCTTATAAAAATCGAATTGGTTAAATGGTGTTCTTGGACTACTAATAAGTATTTTGACGTACATATGATTGTCTATTGTTCGGTTAACAGATTATAAATGATCATTGTACATGTTTAAATTTATCAATGAATTTGAATACGTCACTGGGAGTATCCTTAACGAATTTCATACGTCATAATATTGTAGTTTAATTATAGATTTATTATGTAACTGTGTGGTAATTGGAGAGACGGTGAGCTGGTGATTATGGGAATGTTATAACAGGTCTCTTGTCTGCATTTTGTGTCGAGAAGAACACTCGGTGTTTTTTATTATCTCTACGGGGATTTCGGGAAATCCCCTCTATTTTTTATATGATAAACCCACCCCAACCTCTTAAAACCGCTGCAACTCCTGTAAGCCAGGATCTAAAGTAGATATAACCATGAAAACACCGCAACACTGAAGTCCGGCGCGTCTCAGAAACATGAATAACTGTCTTGGTTCCCACAACGAAGTGAATCAGAAGATATTATAAGAGAAATCCCCTCTTAGTGACACTAATTGAACACTAAGTGCACTAATTGTACGCAAAATATTTGTACGCTTATCCTGCATAGGACGTCATATTAGAGCTACATCCTATGTATCATTATACCCTACAAGCTTAGCTGTGCCATAATATTAAGCTGAGCTCCAGTCTTTTGCGCTGCGACGCACCATGGGCGTTTTGTGTGTACCTATATTCTTGTTGTGTGTCGTGGCGTAATAAATAGTTTTTATTTTATTATTTCTTGCTACATCATAATCATGTGTACTGTAATTTCACTCATGTTACTCAACCCTTTACTATCTATAAATCTGACTTCAGTTTTCTGCGAGCTTTCAAGCTGACATTTTAGGTAGATAAATCTTTTGTTATAGACGGAAATACGTTGAAGACAAAACTATTTTAAAATATTAGTTCAGATTTTCAAAAGACCTCATATTCCCTCAAGAATAAGCAGACATATTGGTACTGATAGGTAATTAAAATCACCCGGTTTTCGCCACACAAAAAGAGGCGAACTAGTGTAGATAGATTAAACTGTCAAACACCAAGCGGTCACCGGTGACCGCAACCTATTGTTCTATAATTGTGTCTACAAAACCGGTACTCGACGAGTTAAAGTAGCATTTACCTTACGTGGTAGGTATCGTAACCTGCACGTGTCACCACAGGAAATGGTTTGATAGTAAAAGATAATCTGGTTTAAACTGGTCGCTACTTCTTACATTATTTACTTCTGATAATAAAAAGTTTGATAGTGGAGTACTGTAATCTTTTAAAATCAGTTTATGATACTATACCCGGCGATTAATATTGCATATCGACCTTTGGAGGTATATTTTTTATACAATAAATTGTGGTAAACTTTTTTTGATCTTTACAAAAACGTTGCCCTATACCAGGGTATTCTCCTGTCGGCGCGTCGCGTTCCGTGCGCACCTCAAGGAGCTACCAGACCACCACAGATGGTGCCCGATAGGGCTGATGCTGATACGGAGCCGCGGAAGATTTAACGGGTTGTCGGGGCATCGGTTCGAAGTGCAAGAGTAGGGGCGGGGTGGTTGTTAGTCAGTAACAGTCTGACATTCCCTCCCGCCTCACCCAAGCGGGAGAAGTCATTGGATGATTTTCCCCCCTCAAAAAAAGGGTATTCTCCTGTGTCGTGGGTGCGTTTACGAACATACACATGACACCCAGACCCGAAACAACATATTTGTACAACTTTCATGAAGTAAGTTACTGAAAAAGTCCATAAAGCTTTATATATACGTCAAAGCTACACTAATTTTTAGCTCATTTATAATAAATTAATTATTACATTTTTGAGCTCAACTCACGTAATTATTTGACGAGGAACTCGACTTGTTTCAAGCCGTGCTAGAGGCTTATATTCATGAGCAGTATTCCGCGACTAGCGACGCGGCGTCTGTCAAGCTGCTACGTGAGTATGCCGAAAAACAGAATAATTAATTTAGTATGTTTGACGAAAGTTATCACTTGTACATATTTTGTGTCGTTATTAAGGCTTCTCTACTTCTTTAACATAAACTTTTCTTAAATAAGGCTCACCCCCTATACATAGGACTTATAACGTAAATAGTGAACAGTGGGTGTTACATTGTACAGTGGCATTAAGTGCCGTAAATGTGCACCTCTGCCTACCCTTTCAATGATAAAAGGCGTGATTTTATTATAATAATTGGGTAATAAAGTTTTCTTATATTAAAAAAACTACCAAGACTGTCTGAGAACCGGTACA